AACATATATATATATATAATGGAGTATTTTTATTAAGTAAAACCCATATAAAACTGTGAACATATACTTGTTTGGATAGCCATTGAATATTCAACACAGAAACAAACACTAAAACATTTACAAACGTTTTTAGTGGGAATATCTAGATAAATATATATAAAGCCAAAAGATGCTTCAAAAAATTAGAAACCCAATTCATAATAGCATATGCTATAAATGCTACAAACCTTAGGATGACTAGCTTGTCCACAAGTAGGGGAAAATGCTTCAAAAGAAGATTCATCAAGATATGGTGATACAGCTTGTAGCATCGGAAGAAAGACAAGTGAAAGTATTTGACTCCCGACGATAAGAAGGCCTGTTGTTATTGATTCTGGCACAGGATAGGTAGCCTCTGCAGCTGCTTCAAGAATAACGCTATATTGGGCAAAGCCGAAAGTGCCTAGCCAGCAGGAAAATACAAGGATTCCAGCGGCCATTTTTGGTATAAATAAAAGTGTTGAAAGCCCTGCTTCTCCAAGGATAGCAAGACAATAACATATCTACGGATTATAATTAAATTTAGAAAAATTAAATAAAGGTCCATTAATATAAAAGGCTCAAGTATTGCAAGGTTAAGTGCATCAATCCATAGCGATGAATAAAACTTACTTTTATCATTTCCTTTAATTTTCCTGTTCTGTCCATAATAATAGCGGAAATTGCTGCGCCAATTAATCCACAAATTATCATTAAAGAGCCAACAAGGCCTGCAAATTTGTCACTGTAACCCTTTGCACATAAAATCTGTTGAGCTAGAGCAGAAAACACAGTGAAATAGGCCAGAGCAGTACTAAAAGATATCCAGAGGATTATAAAGCCAGGAACTCTTAATGCTTGCAGAATATATTCGCCATAGATACGAATAGTCCGCGTAAAAGAAAATCCAGAATGCGAATAAGCTGAACGTTTTTCTTCAACTATATAGGCAGCAATCGATGGCGGAATCTTAGGTCGGTCATGAAATATTGTTATTAAGGCGAGAAAAGGACCTACACAGGTAATACTGAATGTAATCCAATTTAATAACGGAATGTCTTCAAAAGATTGTACGATTATAGGAACAAGACCACTTCCAAGAAGGACCCCTAAGGGGTTTCCAAGAGACCCTATAGTGTTTGCGATAGTTCTCTGTCTATCAGGAAACCAGACAAAAGCCAGCTTGGTAGGGAGAAACATAAGTAAAGGTTGTGAAAAAGAAGCCGAAATCTGACCTACAAATAATAAAGCTATTTTGATATTATTTGAATGAAATGGCAAGAATGAACTTGTAATAACTCGAAATATACCACAGATAAACAAGAAGAATGATGAAAATATGATAACAACACGCACACCAAAATAGTCTACAATAAAAATGGCAGGTAAACCAAAGACAATAGTTGTTATAATGAAAACCGCAGATAGCCAATTAACTATATCTTCATCAGTATTGTAAAACTTCAGGGTATGATCGGCAACAGGAGAAAATGAAATCCAAATATAAGCACTCAAGGCGTTTAGAAAAGCTAATATTAGGACTAAAACCCATCTTATCTTAAATAATTTTATGTTAAAATTAGACAATCCTGAAGCCGATACTGAATCATCACTGTCCACTTTCATCAATAATGTAAATTCAGAAAATTATGTATACCATATAGCGCGGTAGAAGCGCTAAAAGCGGTTCCGTTGATACAATGCGATTTAGTTTAACTAAACACTAACATGTAAGTTATTAATTAAAATTTACTCAAAATAAGTTTGATAAAAAGTCTATTATTTAAAAAAAGGGAGAAGCGCTTATTTTGCAAAATTTGTAGAAACGTTTCAAAAACCTCTTTTAGGGGCCGAATTTTTGAATTAGGACTCCTGATGCGCAATGAACAACTGAAGAAATTGCATCTAGCCCAGGAGTATTTACATTCTTTTAATGGATGATATCAATAACAATTCATATTTAGGCATCCGTATAGCATTATTTAAAACCAACAAATCATTAGATTCATGCATTATAATGGCGTTCATAAATCTTATAAGTTTTTACCTTATACTGTTTGTTATCTATCTTTCTTTAATCTCGTAGCCAATTTTAATTATTTATATATTTCCAACTAGTTGAAAGGTATAATCTATTTGTTATGCTGTTTGCCATGATCTTCGTTACACTCCATGACAGTAGTTCAATTTTTATCTACTTAAGACATATTTAGAATTTTGTACCCATCACTAATATTCACA